TTTTTTTTTTTCAAATATTATTTGATTCTTTGCCTATACAATTTAAACATGACTATGATATGTGGAAGTTGCTCAAATCTGTTAATTCAAATTACACCTTACACAGTTCTCAAGGTTAGAGTGAGTAGGACTGATGGCAGTTTATAATAATCAAGTTTCGGAAGCTGGAATGTGAAACATCAAGTATTTGTACATGGGATTTAGAATTCACCATTTTTACCTATGGGGAGATAATAATCAGGCTTTGATTGTGTTAACTGGTATGACACAGGACTGCATCATGTATGATTTTTAAAGAATGTTTATTCATTACCTGGATTGAAGTTTAAGCACATTTGGACACATGTGCTTTGCAAAAACAGCCTGCAGTGGATCACATTCTTGAAAAGTCAGATTATGTGTTTTAACAACACCTAAGTAAACAGCAAATGAACAAAGATTAATGCTGGCCTGTAATTTTTAATGCTGATTAGTATTATTTGGTCTTTTCCACAAATCTCAATAAAAAAAAAAAGGAGCCAAGAAAATCAGTCTACCTACCTGGAAATAAGATACCTACAAATAGAAAACAGAATTAAAATTATGTCTAAGACTTCTTTCATGCTATTAGTCATTGCCCTCTAAAATCTGTGATTCTTAAGAAATTCAATGAACAAGTGAACAGCAATGAGTGTAACAAGTGCAGGAAAAAGAAGCCTTCAATATTTAACTGCTAAATAACACAGACAGTTGGGAGGGAGCAACACTAACTCCCTATAGGTCTCCATTTCTAGATAAGCATGAGCTGATGAATGAGCAAAGCTGGCTTACTTGACCTAAGTAATATAATCTCTCATTATTATTAATGCAAGCTACATTTATGATACTATAAAACTGCCCATTCCATAGCACAGCTCTGCAGGCTGTGTTGATAGATAATGGTTATTTAGGAGCTCTGCAGAGACTAACAGCTACGAACACAGAGTCTTCTGCAGGACTGAGGATGTCAGACCTGTTTCAAAGCCAAAGAACATGGTAAGTACACAAGACTTGAGAAGTGCAAAAAGACCCTGTAAATTCTCAGGTAGCTGCCAAAACAGGATTTCCTCCCCTCCCCTTTTAAATAATGTGTGTCTTGTTTTGTTTTGTTCTTCAGAATTTAATGTAGCCTAATTTTAAATATTGCAAGCAGTGGGCAAACAACTGTGTGTAACACACAACTGAACTGAGTGCAGGGTTCGGTAGTTGCTGTTTAAAAACAGCTGCCTGATAAATCCTGTTATAACTTATTTTTGACAAGGTAAAGTGCATTAAAAATGCTCATTATGATGTGGAGACGCTGAATGTATTTGACATGATGTTCCATCAGTAACAAACAATTAATAATTACACTAAATATCATCTTCCTGTTTTAAACTGCTTCTGTTTCTGGAAAGTCACCTTATGTAACCTACCGTGTTTACAGATGAGCTGAAAAGTTATGTGATGATCATTACTATTTGTATAAATGTTGCATTTCTCTACATTCCTTCCCAGCATATTGATACATCTAAATACAGGAAGAACTGACTGTTAAAAAAAAAAAAAGTTACCAAACAATTTAGCAATTTTGCAGTATTATTTCTCTAGTTCAATGCAGTTTATGTCAAGCTCCTGTTTCTATGGCCTCTCAAAGCTGCTTTGTAAGCAGACACCAAGGTAGTGATAACGATCTTTGCCATCCTCTCCTCACCCACTGTGGAAGGTGTTTGCTAAACAACTGGGACAAGCTCTCTGGCCCATACAGGTTTGAAGGTTAGAGGAAAAACACTCCCCAGGCACAAACATGGTATTTCTTCACCTCAAGATGAAACTGGTTCCATGTTTGGGAACTGCAGGGTACAGCTGGCGGGGGGGGAGTGGGCACCACCTTCTAAACATCATTAAACACAATGTTCTCGTTTGCAGAATTGCTCAGGAGCACCTGAGCTTACAGCTCTAAAAACCACAGCAGTCTCAGGTTTTAGTCACTAGTAATGTCCTCTATTTGCCTGAACAATCCTCCCCCTACAATCTGATTTGAAAATYGGGTTGCTTTGCTGCTTGCAAAGCCGTGCATGCTAACCCACTACAACATACCTTAATGATCAATTTACAGGGCAGGGGTAACGATTTCTCCTTCTGACATGATTCAGACACAGCTGCCCAGCAGTAATGTTGGAAAAACATAGATGAAAAGAAGACGTATGCACAGGCTGACCTAGAAGAATTCACTGATCTTAAGGCAAGCTGAAAATGAAGATATTTCATTAACTCAAAACTGCTTCATAATGAACCTTCAACAAAAAGGCTGCTTCTATGCTTTAGTAGCATAATTAAGCACAAAACCTTAAGCAGGCATGAAGGTATGTCTCAAAATATAAATATATATAGATGCATTACAATCATATTCAAACTAATCCTTCCTTACTGCAGATCAGAAGTCACTGGTATAACAGAGGCACAGGAATCCAATCTAGGGTATTGAAGCGAGTTAAACATTTAAGTGTTAATTATCTAAACATTTAAAATTGAGTTTGAGGCTTTTGAGGGATTGGGGCTTGCTTCAATACAGTTCTAATTCTTGCCCATCCACATCATGCAAACAAACGAGCAATGACATTGTGTATCACAGCACCAGCACTAAAAAAATACTTCAGATATAAAAAGCAAGTAGCTCTGCTTCTGATTTGCAAGGTAAGAAGAGCTGAGCTTAATCTGCCTTGACTAAGAAGCCTCCGGAGAAAACCCACTTTTAGCTGGAAGTGGTGGCTGATTAACGGGGACACTGTTCCTGTTGACTCATAGCAAAGTGGTACAAAAACACGTTGCTTGGAGGCAGTTTCTGATGAGGATGAAACATAAGCTTTTCAGCCATGACAATATAWATGATGCCTACAGTAGTAATCTGGTTTCCTGTGCAAGCTTTAGCTACAGCAGTAAAAAAATCTGTGAATATTAGGGGTAGAGTGGAGATGGATTTTCCATGATACGGTCTGCCTAATGACAGTAACAGAGAACATGGCATTTGTCCATATTTAAAGTGGAGGAAGCYGAGTGTAACTCAGCTGAAAGGGCATTTGGAGGGAAGCAATTCAATATGAAATTCAATGATGTTTGTTTCCAGAAAATTCTAAATGACAACAAATCAAACGAACAATCAAATTCACTTACACCTTTTTCTACTGGGTCAAAACAAAATTCATCACTAATACGTGCTATGGCATGTATTGCTCTTCCAAACACTAGCAGAAAAGAAGAAAGGTGCAATTTGCATCCTGTTAAATGAAGAACAAGCTACACTGCATTTTCCCTGCAATAACTTAAGTGGAGAGAGACATTGATAACGCTGTTTCAAAAGGCTGCCTGAAAYGTTGGATGTCTGTTTGCAGGGACAGGTATCTCCCAAGGGAGAGCAGCAGGGCAGGTAAAGGCAAAGTCCCAGGGACCAGTAGGGAATTCAACATTTGCCTATGCCCACCCTGGCATGGGGCAGAGCAGCACCATACATGGAATGTGAGGGAGCTGGGATATTGGTAGGCAATGAGGTGCACAAGTTGCTGCACAGTCCAGCAATAGCCTGCCCGCCTCAATGGACCCCAAACTCGTCTCTTTGCACTCAAATCTGAGCAGCTTTCRGAGGGGGGGCGCTGTGCAAAGCTCACTACGGGCAGCGTGTCCGGGCCGCAACATGGCCACAGCCACCCAGCCCTGAGGCAGCTTCACCGCGGCTCTCCGGTGCTGCTCCCCCCGCGCAGACCCCTCTGTCCTGGACGTGCCGCCTCTCCGGGGGGCACCGGTACCTCGGAGGTGCCCGCCCCCAATCACACACTTCATGGCCGGGCACAGAGGCAGCGGYCGCCGCCGCTCTCCCGCCCTTCCCCTCACGCGCCCCTCCCGCAAGGGCGGGAAACCCCGCAGCGCCTGGGGCGGGGGGAGGAGAGACCCGGATGTGGGCAGCGGAGTGCGCTTGTTCCTTTCTTGTCCTGTCGCGGGTGCCGTAGCGGGCGGTTGCGGGCTCTGCTTCCGGGAGCCGCCCGCKCTGTGTGAGGGGGCGTCGCGTCGCGCCGCGCAGCACGATGGTGAGCGGCGGAAGCGGCCGAGCTTCGTTAGCTGCCGATGTGACTGTGAAGATAAAACGCTCCACAGTCGCTCGGGAGCGCGCAGCCCGGGCACGCGCAGCCCCCCCGCAGCGCGGCCTGGGGCGGCCCGGGCCCGCGGGCGGCGCCCCCGCCCTCAGCGGCGGGATCGGAGGGGTGGGGGGAGCCAGGGACCGGCGGGGGCCCCGGGGCGATCAGGAGGCCCGGGGGGTGGGTTCTGGCCACGTAACTGCCACTTGTTTATTATTTATTTGTTATTTATTTTATTTATTACTTATAATTTATTTTAACGCTTTCTTCATAACATTAAAACCAAACCAAAATCATTAATTATTATTCACCTGTTCATTTGGCTTATGTTTTTCTTTTCCTTTGCTTTTCCTTGGTTTAACATTGATCACGTTTCGCCCTGTTTTTTTTTTTTTTTTTCCTCCCCATCCCTCCCCCCCCCGTCTGCAATCAACTCCTGCACCCCCTAAGGCCGGGCACAGAGTAAGTCACGGGGGGCTGCGGGCGACGGCTCCGGGGCGCGGGCGCGAGCGCAGCCTGCGCGTTGCGGGCCGGCTGCTCCTCCGCGCTGCAGCCCGGGCCCTGCATCGGCACCCCTTGCATTGAACCCTTCTGGACACCCTAGTGTTAGGATTCTCGCCAAGTCAAGGGAGCTGGAAGGTGGTGTGGGGACCTCCTGAGCGCGCTCAGGCTCTGCTCGGCTCAGGGGGTTTATCTGCTTTAAGTGGCAGTGTAACTTGACTGTTAAATACATAACTAGTATTGCATGCATCAATCCCTCAAAAAACAATTACAGAATTTATGTATTTCTGCTTTATCCTCAAAAAACACTTGCTGTGGATACGTTCTTTACATTTCAAGTGTACAGTCCTTGGACTCATACTACTAAGAGTGTTTTTCACTTGGAACTCTTATAAAGTCATCAAAATATATGTATATTTTTTTGTCCTGGACTTGTTTCCAATAGGTAACTTCCAAATTAAAGAAGTTTTATGTTGTTTTTTTACCAGTACTCTCAATAAGGTGCATGGCTTTGATACTAGTACAAAGACTTGCCTAAAAAAGGGGAAAAAAATCCTGAGGCCTCCCTGCCTTTTTTACAATTGCCAGCATGCATCTATTTGTGTAGCCTAAGAATAAAGAAAAAAATAGCAGATAGTAAAAAAGGTCACTTCATGGTGTAGTCACCGTGTATATATATGTGGGTGAAATCCTGTATAGACCTATTTGATGGCTCTACCTTTAGAAACCGCCTTCCTAACAGAGGATTCTGGTGGGAGATAAGTAGCTCCATAGTGACAGCAACAGTTTATCAGGATAACAGGGATGACAGTCTTTAGGTCAGTGTTTGTTTAGTAGGATAGGACCCATGCTTTACAGAGCTTTCCATGCCCTTTTTTGCATAATTATTTCTACTTTGCTTGCATTAATTATTTCTTTATTGGCACATTCAGAGCCTGTGATGTTAGAGAATCTTCAGGCATTGAACTTGCATTCTTCTAACGTGTTCACTGAATCTCTGAATATGTCTGGTAATGGGAACACACTGTATGTGGGAATCTGGTTTAGCTTCTGTGCAGTTTCCCATTTAACCAAAAAATTGCCTCACTCTGCTGTACTTCAGTGGTTCCTACAATAACGGCTCTGATTAAGCTTCCTGTTCTGGTTAACTCTTAATCCATATTGCAAATTTGCTATCTTATTACCCTTTTTTTTTCTTTTTTTAATTGGGGTAGAATAAATAAGTAAAATGTAATCAGCTTATTGTAGGTGCATTTAACACAAATTTGGGAAAAGTGGTGCATTTCTTTTGTTATGCTCCGATGAAAAAAAACAGGGTCCGTAGAGATTTGACCCCGTTGTTTGTAAGACCCCTATCTAGCAATGTTCTATATCAATAAGGGCCATTGTTTTCCCTCAAGTATACAAAAGTTCCATCACCATTTCATTTTTTTATTTCAGTAGCCTTTATATCAAAAGTGAAATTATGAAACTAAGGAAAATATTGTCATGTTTTTGCTTCCTCATGTTTCTTGCTGGTCTTAGTAAATTTCCCTAATGATTTTTCTTTCCTTCTATGACACCTGATAAGTTGGTGTTAGTATTAGGAGACCTTCACATTCCACACCGATGCAACAGCCTCCCAGCTAAATTTAAAAAACTGCTGGTTCCAGGAAAGATCCAACACATCCTCTGCACTGGAAACCTCTGCACCAAGGACACCTATGACTACCTCAAGACTCTGGCTGGGGATGTTCATGTTGTGCGAGGGGACTTTGATGAGGTATGTGCCTCTCCTAGTTAAAGGCAATAAGGCAATATGAGTTTATTTTTAATTTAAGTAAAAGTGATCAAACAGAGCATAATATTAAGAGCAATATGAAAATCAAATTATATGTAATCGGACTTTTTTTTTTTCCCTTTTAGAACCTGAATTACCCTGAACAGAAAGTTGTAACTGTTGGACAGTTCAAAATTGGGCTGATTCATGGCCATCAGGTTATTCCCTGGGGTGATATGGCCAGCCTGGCATTGCTACAAAGGCAGTTTGATGTGGACATCTTGATTTCAGGACATACACATAAATTTGAGGCATTTGAACATGAAAACAAATTCTATATCAATCCAGGATCAGCTACAGGAGCTTACCATGCCTTAGAGAAGTAAGTGAATTATGGGACGTCTCTATGGAGATTTTCTGTTATGCTTCTCCTTGGTAACAGAATTGAACATTCGTAAATAATTATGAAGACTAGTGGATGTAGTTTTAAATGCCAGGGATGGGGTTTGACAGCACTTGTTGAATCTCCCTGCTTGAAATAAAGGGTAGTAAAATGCTTAAAACTTGAATTTGGTATATTGTACTTACAAAACTCAAATCCCTGTTTCTTAAGAGTGACTTCTGTTAATAAGTCTAATAGACAAAACCTAACGCTAATAAATATAATTAATATTATCACTATTTTCCTCCCCTCTTTCTAGCAACATCATTCCTTCATTTGTGCTGATGGATATCCAAGCTTCTACCGTAGTTACGTATGTTTATCAGCTAATTGGAGATGATGTGAAAGTAGAAAGAATTGAGTACAAGAAATCTTGAGGTGTCTTTGCTTGTCTCGTGTTTTTACCATCTCATTCTGGAAGTCCAAGTTACTGCAATACTTGATTGCCAGTTTACAGTACCACATTTATTTGCTAACGGCTTAACACTGTAGCTCATTGGTCTCAACTTCAAACCAACAATGTGTTTGCTTATTTTCTCTTTGTATGATTTGATTTGTAAAAAGATTCCATTAACTGGGTTAAGTACTGTTCCTTAATGTTGTAACAAACTCTTTTTGCTTCATAGAAAAACTAAGCTTTATGAACCATCCTTGAAAAATGTGACTTATAACCTGCTTTAAAAGCATCTAGCAGTACTTGATGTTTAACACATAGCCTGATTTGGTGATTTATATCTAGTGGACAAATTTGGCATAAGCCTATTGTAACAGGTTTAAATACATTAATGACAGAGGCTTTGGGAGGCAGGTTTCTTTCAGAATCCATTTGATACTAAGCTTTCTCCTTCCAAGTTAAGTTGAAAGAATAAATGGATTGGGTAGATTCTGAAAAAAATACAAATCAACTCACAGCTGTAGTAATTTACTGTAGAAAGTTTAACTTTAGTCTTTTTATATTCAAAGTGGTTTAAAACGACGTGTCGGCTTTACTGGATGATGGTCTAATTAAATCTGTAATCAGTGTAGAGAGGCTTTTTCTTTACTTTGCTTATCTATGTATCTGACACTGTATATATACACAGCTTGCTCCATGTACAAAAGTTTTAAATAATGTAATTCTGTATGGCACTGGTACTACTACTGAGGACTAAAAATTGGTTGTTCATGAGAAGTTTTTGCTCTCCTACGCTCAGCTGGCTCAAGGGAACTTGAGTGTACTTAACAGCTCCCCCTTTTCATGGCTGCTAGTTTTACAATAAAAAGTTTTATCTTTTATCTTCTACAGAATACTTAGAATTCAAAAGTGGACTGCTTCCTTTGCATATTTAGATGACTTATACATGCAGTATTTGTGAAAAGCTATACAGTGTTACCATGGTCATGAAACTTCAAGTAAGAATAATGGGATATCCACAAAACTTAAAGCATCACTACAGTCCTTACTTCTGTCTCCCAGGCTTTGACTCAATACTTTATTCACAATAAACTTGCTTCACCTTAGAAAAAGCTCAAGCATTTCATTCTGGCACTTTTAAGGGAAAAAAAAAGTTTGGTTAACCTCCATGTATTGCAACAAAATACATACTGCTTATACAGTGCTTTAAAGCCAGTATAAATTTGTCAGTTTATTTCTGTTCAGTGTAATTAAAAGTAGGATTTGTGTACAAAGTGTATTTACATGAGGTACATCAGCTCTCAGAGTTTAAAAGTTTAGCACAATCATAGAAGGAGATGTTTATGTGAAGCTTTAGAGGTTCTCATAATAGACTTAGGAACAAGGAGGAGATAATAAGGTTAATGGAAAGAAAGTTTAAATATCAAAGTGCTGAATAAGAACTTTTCTTTAAAAAAAAAAAAACAACAGGAAATCCTGATGGAAGTCTAGACTGTTTTAACTTTGATAGAGTTAAACTGTTCTCCATAGCTGTCTCCATGCTGCTATGGAGAAAAAAAAACAGCCTAGATAATTAAAAACCTGAAAAGCTTATAGAAGCTTTGGGGTAAAAGAGTTATAGTTCGGTGTTGGTTAACAAGAACATGTGTTATTAATGTATGTCACTAAACGAGGCAGGGGAGGGAGAAAAGACAAAGGGCAGATGAAGACTTAATCACAGGTCTCCTCTGGTCCACTTTGAAACATCTGGAGGGTAAGAGGACAACATAATAGAGTTTAGGAAATTCAGCTATAATTTGAGTCCTGTCAAAGTGCTTAATCAAATTATGGATTACTAAACTTTAAAATTAAAACATGGTTTACTTGAATCAGTAAGCATTTTACTCTGTAGAATATATTTATTAAATTATTGACTACCTAGATTTTGGCAAATCAGTAGTTTAGAAAGAGGGAAAGTAAACGCTCAGTAGGTATGATGGTGGTTTGTTTTACCTTTAAAATATCAGAAGTTGATGCATCCACCAGCATGGGATTTCCACATTTCTCTTGATACTCTTTTATTAAGGCTGTTGCATCATCAATGCTGTAGAAGGGAAAATTTTTTAAACTTCACAACTGAAGTTCTTTAAAAGAGCCAAGAATTTAGACTATTTGTACTGAAGTATAAAACAAGGTGAAAACCCACAGCTTTGAACCCAAATATATCCTATATTTTCCCAGAGGAAAACAAGCCTAGCATTTTTACCTGCAGCTGTTAGTAAACCCATATACTAGATATTCAGTAGCTATTTGTTGATTCCTATCATGTTCTGACTGCTGGATAAGTGGTAACAAAATAACCCAGAAGACTGAAGACTTAAGTATTTGGGGTATAAAAATCAAAGTTAGTAGCTGTGCATGAGCACAGGTGCCATGCATCACTGATTGCTGATTTAGCACCACCCTGCCTTTGATTCAGCGCTGATATTTAAGAGTAATCTCAGAGGTGCTTCGAACTCTGGAAAAGCTTGGTGGGCAGCCCCCTCCTGTATCTTGACTACCGGCAGTTTGTTTGTTGTTTCTAAAAAGTGCTCTTGCTGCTGAAGCTGCGACTCTGGATACTGCTGTGCTGAGCTCACCTGAAGGTAAGGCTAAATTGATTCCAAGCAAAAGCATTTACTGTTTCAGTCGGATTATTTCTGCAATTTTAACCAAGTTTAATCTGCTTGTCAGTTTAGGGGTAGAAAGCTGTTATTTTGGCTCAAATGATTCTGTGAAACTGTCCTGTATGTATGCAAAGTAGCAAGGTAAAATTTTTCTTGTTTCTATGACTTTTCTACTTTCTATTAACCTACCAGTTCTTGCTGACTAAATAATCCACCAGTTCTTTAATTCGGTGAGTGTTCATCAGCTGTTGTTTCAATAATGAAAAATACTTAGTTTTCAAGAATTTCTCATATAGCTTCTCGTTTATGATGCTGTCCAAAGTCAGAGATCTAATCTGGAAAGTAGTAGATAAAATTTTAGTAATGGAAACGTATTGAGAAGCTTGATCTTTAAATATAAGGGATCAGATTCTTCTTGCTAGGTTACTGTAAGAAGCAGAACTTGTGAAGATTAACCTCAGTAGAGTGAGTTAAGGATACTGCCATTAGGAAATCAATGGAAGATAAATGAAGACCATTTTGTGAGCCTTCTAGCTTTTCTTGCACAACATATTAGAAAAATAAAGTACTCTTACCACAAACAATGCTGTCCTACAAATAGGCCCTTTTTAGGCCCTTTTTTTTTTTTAATAAAAACACAGAAATGCTTAGATATTCTGCTATATTTTATAAGAACTCATATACGCTAAAATCAGGGTGGCAAAGAGAGGTTTTATGTACGTATCAAGAAAATCTGTATGTCAAAGCTAAGACAAAGAAGTATTTGTTTACCTGAGAAGCAAATGCCACTACTTCTCCGGTGTTCATATGTTCATCTATTTGTTGCAATATAGTTTCAGTGCTACATGTCGATAGGAAACCCTTGTTAAAAAAAAAAATAGAGAAATTAGGAAAATTTTAAATTCTCAAACCAGTACCTGGGTAGTCTGACTGAGAGAATAATGTTTTTGTAACATTTAACTCCAAAAGAGCATTTTGTTATAGTTACAGACTTTGACTGTCATTGTCGGCAGATTAGATTTCTTACACTAGGGCTATGACTTGGGAAAAATCTTCTGAGCTTGAACTTTAAAAGGGAAATTTAAGAATGTAAGATGCTTTTCCTTGTGCCAGTGTTGACAGAACTGGGAGTAGCCTATTGTGCTTAATTAGGGAGAAGGACACAGAGCATAAAGTCATGGAAATTAACAAGAGAGAGGAAACAGTGAGGAGGCACAAATATTGCTTTAAAGCAAAAGGTTTATGTCAGAACATGTGAGGCATATGAAATGTTTCTAGAGATGCGAGCCTATGAACTTGAGACATTTGAAGCTTCCCTGCTTCTAAAGGATTCCTATTTCTCTTGCAAGCTGTTGGAAACTAGCCCTCTAAAAAGTTTGTCAACTTCACACTCTTTTCGCTTATAGGCTTTTTTCCCCTCCCCTCTATTTTCATGCATACTTCATAAAACCACCAAAAAATAAACAAAACAACGGGGGATAGAGGGGCCTGTAATACTTGAGTAAGTATTTGTAGGAATACTGGAGTTGCTAGAGGCTTCTGCTGCGCGTTACAGTTCTCCACTCTGGAGAAGGGTGGGATCCATAAAACCCTAATGCACAGAAGGCAAAGTCATATGACAAAGTTGCTGTGGATGACCTGATTTTATTTTTTTTTATTATTATTATTTTTTTTTTTTTAAGGGAAGTGTTCACATGAACCCTTTCGGAAGCAGAAATTTAGAGCAGTAACCAGTGGGGTGGGAGGTGCTGAGCAGCTGGCTCAGCAGCAATGTATTCAAATACGCTAGAGTTAGAAGATACCATCTTTCAGTCTCTGTTGAAAATAATATGTTTAAATGAATTTCCTCTGGGCAGCAGAAACACGTTTCTTGTTACCTGAATTTGCTGCTCTCTTTTCTCAGACTGAGGAATCAGCAACAGGCATCCCAAAGCAAAAGCTGGAAGGTCCAGCTGTGCATATTGTTTAGCTATTCCGATGACATCCAGGTCAGCCAGAACAGGACACCTTGAGAAGATTAGGAGGAAAGTCCTCAGCTACAAGTTATCTAGCTATATATCTAAATATTTTCAATAAAAATGCTTTGAGATTTTAAGATGGACTTTTTTTTTAAACTTATTTACAGGTTAATGCATAGAATGGTTTGGAGAGTAACTATATGTTAACCATACTTACACATGTGCAATTATTGGCTTTTTCTGTGGCAGGTTTACTCTTCATAGGAAAATGAATGCATTCGATCTTATACTCTAATGTTTGGGGAAACATGCAATCCTTGACTTAGAAAAAGAATTAACTGGATTTTTAGGGTGACTATCAGTGTCCAAATGTGTCAGGACAGAATGGATGTCCCTCATAGAGGCAGTGATGGGCAGATACCAATTTTCAGCAGTCTGTGCAAAGCCCTAATTCTGAGAGCAGTTATCAGTACAGTTTAGACAGCTAAGGCATTGAGTCCTGGCATGTCTCCAAGAGGCTGCGGGCAAGCACTGAATTTTGTTTGAGTAGGTACCCTGACTCTTCCCGTGCTACAAGGAGGCTCCTTTCCAAGCCTCATGTCAGAATCTTCAGTTCCCAGAGCAACTTTGCATGTTTCAGGGTGTTAGAAGAGTGATTACAAAGGAGAGATTCCCACTCAAACCAATGTAACATCTACTTACTTCAGCAGAATCACAAAACATTCACAGCATTCCTCCAACTGGTTCGGACTTGGTGGACATGAAGCTGAAAGATAAGTGAGTAAAACCATGATAAAGTGGCTATATAATGAAGTTACTATACAAGCATGGCAGATAGCTGTTAATTAATGTACCTGCAAGAAATGGTGACAGAACTACACTTCGCCAAGCTCGACTGAAGTTGGGAATCTGTTGAAAGTAAATTTTTAGAGTAAGAGCCATACACAGTTGTAGTTAAATGATTGTGTAAACACGGACATCTTGACCTATTACAGCTGGCAGAAGTCTGCTTTGTTTTTAAACATTGGAAGAGTTATTTCCTAATATTGCTTCCATCTTTCAAATCAAGATTATTACCTTATTTTGCTATTGCTCATCTGATTTCATAAAACATGTAAAATGAGGATACATAGAAGGAACCATAATAGAAAAATGTATCACTTAAGCGATGAATAACTACTCAGTTGCATGTTGCTATGTCATAATAATCATTAAAGGGATTTTTTTTTTCCATGTGTAGTGCTTCTGTGGGTAATGATTGCACTCACACACAGGACACTATATTCCTGTTAGATAAGGAAAAGACTTGAATAATTGCTTACCTCCCATAATGAATGAATTCCTGTGATTGCTATCAAAACTTTTCTCAGATATTTCATCTGAAACATAAATATTACATTATAAAATGATATAAATATATATATTTTTTTAAAAGACCAGTCACATCTACTTTCTTAGGTTATAATGACATTATATTAAGTTTGACAACCAAAGCTGATTTAGATTATGAATTACAAAATTAGGATTACTATCATAATCCTGGGATGCTGTGTGTGTTGTCCAAACAGATGCGTGGATACATTCCTCTTTTTTGTGTTATGAGTATATATGTAGACATAAAAATAGGTGTAATATGTAGTAAAACTATATTGCTGTGAAGAAAATTTATTATAAGATTTAGTCTTCCTGATGTCTGATGTTTTTTCTCCCCCACCAAAATTGTTATTAAATTATTCCAAAAGCCAGAATAATTTAAAATCAAAGTTCTCAAACAGTACAGTTAAAACAGAAATTCCTCAAAGTTTTATAAATGTTTACAGATAGACTGCAAAGTAACCACGTAGACCATAAGAAAGATAATAGCTCACAATAAATTTTAACTTATTTATCTGTCACATTCTTCAGAAATTAGTGTTTAAAAAAAGCCTGTTTCTCTGCAGAGCTTCATGCTTAAAAGTTCTTTACCATGTTGAAACCAAGAAGCTTCTGTAGTAGGCCATTCCAGAGTTGGAAGTCATATACTTTGTATTCTAGACAAAGTTCAGACACAAGTCTGACAGCCTGAAGGAGAACAAGGACATAGTGCATGTTAATAAATATGCATTCAGGATAGTATACTTTTTGTTTGCCAGAATGGCCTTACAAAAGGCCAAGGAGGAAAACATAAAATAATACTAGGAAATAATCATGTGATGGGTAAGTACTCAGCACACCAACTTGTAAACAGCAACTTATTAAGCATTATGGCAAAAGAACAACCACCTAGTGAGATGTTTTTCATCCTCTGATATTGGCACTCTGAAACAGAAGAGTCTTTAGGGTAACTGTATACTCCCTGGTATTGTAAAGAGACCATGAGTAGTACAAGTACTGTAGAACAATTTATTTTTAGAAATATATGCCGTATGTAGAAAGATGCACGTACTGTGGGTTCATGGCTGTGATTCTTCCATAGTCCTTTGATCATTCCTTCCTTGGGGCTTTTATGAAATGATTCATAAGTATATGGAATATTTAAAGTTTCAAACTCTGCCAGATAAATGCAGCATTTTAGAAAATACCTGTTTAAAAAAAGAGGGAGGGAGGAAGGGGGATAAAAAACAGGAGCTGATTAGATTTATAGTGATTATTATAAGTAGCATAATCAAATTCAGGGAAAATATTGAAAAAGTGTTTTCTGTGGCTTTAATAAAAGTGTTTGTATTAATGAAAAAGATCAAGGATCTTGGTAATTGCCTACAGAATCCTGATTCTGAATGAGAGTGTTCTTGGATAATTTCTAAAGATAAAACAGTTCCTATAACTTGCACTAGAATTTAATTCTCACATGGAGACCCACACGTAGGTATTTGACATCACTAATGTCTGTTAAGTCCAGCAATATGTTATTGTTAATTAATACCTTAAGGAAAATTCATCTTACTTTACTTTCTCAATGGGTTTCTTGAAGAGTGATTCCACAGTATTGGTATCTGCCAAGTAGAGCAGACACTTAAGTGCTCTGCTCCTGTGAGCAAAGGTCAGTTGATTAACACCAATGGGCTGAGAGGGGAGAGAAGAAAGAAAGGAAAAAAAAAAGTAAACAGAAAAAGTAAAAACATAATCCCCTTTTCAGCTGTTTAACCCAATTCAACCCAACCCAAAACACAATTATATGTGTTTTGCATGGTCTAAGACTTAGCATTAATTTAGTATAAAGCTATGTTAAGTAACAGACTGGATTACCTTTACTTTTAAAAATATTAATAAATGTTAGCGTAAAATTAAATTAATTAAAAATTAATAAATACTAGCTTAAATATTTGTCAACTTCAAAGCCAAACCAGATGTTTTATAGGTTTAGAGTATTAATGCAAATGAGAAAATCTCTCTATATAATCTCTCTCTTCATATGATATCAAAATATAATCAAATATGCACTCATACCTCTTCAGCAAAATTTGATGAACATTGATTTTAATCCAAAAGAAGGGAAAGGGGAAAAGTCTAGAACTCATACAGGTATATAAACTACCCAGAGATAAATGCAAATTGTGTATTTGAAATCAATACAGTTTTAAAAAAAGGATAATATTTGATTTTAATAGGACATGAAAGTTTTAGCAAGTTGAAACTAAACTTACAGATGTGGCTGATGTTGTAATTGCAAAAAGCAATCTTGAACTGTAATCCATTGGGCGTGACTGAAGTAGATATATAACTCTGCAAAAATGCATTTATTTTAAACACAAATACAGCATTTGCCACTAAAATACAATGTAACTTCTTCATATAAATTTAAATATAGTTCACTCTTTGAGGATAAGGGATTCTGAGTCTAAATAATGGGAAATACCCATAAATATTCTTATAAGCACTTACATATGTAAGTTATTGCAAATTGAATTTTGTTTTACAACCAAGTATTTAAAGATTCAGAACTGACATCAAAATATAGACAGAAAGATATTTTTATATTATCTAATGCCATAGATATCTAGAGGACAGAACTGCTCCAGTTACAATATGTAGAGGAAAACAGATTTCGTTAAAGTGTAGATTCTGCACTCGCAGCAAAGCAGCAGAAATGGGAATGCTATAGGGCAGCCATCTCCTATGCAGCTCTATTTTTGCATATTAGCAGTAATTAATAGTTACTTTACTATTTGATAGGGTACAAACACCATGTCTAAGATCATAAGCACCAACAAGACATTTTTTGCCTATACTTGTTTATTATTGGTCTTGATAGGATTTTTCTCTTATTAGAGACAGCAGCAGCGAGTTCTCAATCTCCTACTTTAATAGATTTCTTCCTTATACAAGTGTTGGATATAGTTAAACTTGCAAGATAAGAATAATTGGCTCTAATACATTTAAAATAACATACCTTCTGAGTTCTTCATCTTCCTTTAGATCGCCAAAGATTCCTTCAGCTTTCTTAAAAATATATGAGGAGAAAAAGTTGTAAGAGTTATGTGAAGTGTTTGCAAAAATTGCTGGTTTGTGGTTATTTAGTTAAACCCTATCTAAAGGCTTGGCAATTTTGACTTTTATCTGTCTTTTTTAACTGTATGTGTGACAGTCAACAGTCCTTCATCACTCGCCCTGCTAACTGATATTTTAAAGCAGAAACGGTTTCTGGTCCCTGCACTTGTACCCTGCATGGGGTACAACATAGGTAGCAGTCAACCCTCAGTTTGCTTTAAGCTGCAACAGGAAAGGATTTGGCTGCTTGCAAACACTGGAGTCATTGTTGGGTGAGGCTAATAAATTTATCAGGAGCAGCATTTCAAATGATTCTTGCTAGAGATAATGGCTTTCAAAAATAAAGATGGTATTGAAATTGTTCATAGTCTGAATTCACATGCAACTTAAATATCTGACTACTAATGCTTAGTAGTGCTTTTTTTTTTTTTGAACAAGGGAAAAAATATACTTCATATAACTGGCCAATTTTATGTAACAACAAATCTCCAGAGATGACTTACTTCTGATGGCAGTATGCTTGGGCAGAGCCATTTATCTAGCAGCTTATCCCAAATTTTGTTCATATCCAAGTCGTTAATTTCAGCTATCTCCTTTGCTGCTGCATGGATATCTACATAAATAGATTGAGACAATACATTTATAAACAGGTACTTCCTTGCCTAGGATTTTTCAAATTTTTTTTGGTCCTTTTGGAACCAGATATAGCATACTTGCCTGGGTAATCTCTGCCAGTTGGATTTTGTATTCTTTGGTCTATACTGCAATGCTCATATAGTAAAATGATAAGGCTTGTTGGTTTCCCAATAGATTTTAAGTGCTCTGCAGTGTTCAACTTGTGAAGTAAAAGAACATTTTCTGTAGCTGATCTCTTATACTGCATATATAACTTCTTCTGGAGGACTTCTGCTTTTTCATGTGCATCATCCTTTAGAAAACACAATTTTTTTATATAACACAACCCCCTTTTATTCAAAAGCTCTAGAAAAATCACATCAACTTTCTTACGGTACTAAACAGTTAACAGAAGGTACCAAGACTGGCTTTTCTGATGTATTTCTGTATGTACACCTTACATACTGTATACTTCACTGTCTTAAAGTTCCAAAAGACAAAACTCTAATAAATACCTGGTAAGATAACTACAGTTTTGCAAGCAGTTTGTCATTACCTTAGTTGTTGTGTTCTTTAGCCATTTTCCAGCTAGATAGAGACAGAATTTCAATGCCTGAATCTGGTCAGGACCTTAGAGGAAGGGGGCAGTGGGGAGGAGGAAAAAAAAAAAAAAAAAAAAAAAAATCAGTTTTCATACAAGTTTGCTTACAGACTAGTTTTTCTTTTCTCAAGCCTGCTCTCTTCCTCGCAGCTACTTCTTCCTTCAAGTTAGGCATGTTCCTTACCTGTTGGAAATTCTTGTGCAATCTTGTGAGCAATAGCAACAGCCCACTCTGGATTAATGATAGACAACAGATAAGATTGAATTGTCTGTATGGTTTTAGTTGTTTCTTTGTTAATAACTGACGTATATCCACTGTTTCTCATTTCAAATATTTTTGGTTTCAGTTTTTTTTCAAAGACATGTCGAGCTGCAGACATGTGTAAGGTATCCAGTGAAACCTAGAAAAGCATTAAAAAGCATTAAAGGCCTTCTGGCAACTTTTAAGTGAGTTATAAGCAAATTAAAAAGCAAACAAATAAAAAGATACAACACATAAAAGTGTTTCCCCTGTGTGCCCCCCCCCCCCAACTCCCCAAGAGGCGGGGAAAAAGATAACTGAAAATTCTTTTAAAGATGTAACTTTACCTTCATTAACTTGGAAATTAACAGAAGTGTTGGAAATGATTCCTCACTGAGCTCTGCAGCTGTAAGGAAATAGAGAGTCCTGCTTATGAGAGTGCCACAAGTCTACCTTTATAAAAATCAAGCACTCCATTGGGAGGAAAATGAATATAATCGTAATTATATATATGCCAGCCTGGTATGTGGGATATGTGGGTTACTTTCATCTCTGAGTGGTTCTATACGCATTTAAGGACAGAACTCTGTAATTTATTGTGTTAACTTCATTGAAAGGCAGTTGCCAGTAGCAGTTTGGGAGCACAGTGCTTTAAGAAGCATTAGAAATACAGTGACATTAGTACATACTGTTGATCTTTTAAGCTCATGTACATGAATGAAAGAGAATATATGTATCAAGCTAGAAAGAATACTGAACATACATATTATGTTCCAGAAACACTTTGCTGTTCTAAAGAATATCAGATGAAAGGGTAATCTGGTTTGAGCAGCTGGAGATAAGGGAATCACATGCTCTAAAACATATTGGTGTTCCAGGTCCACAGGTGGGGAAATTCTTTTATAAGACTCCAGATGTTTGAGAAGACTCAAAGCCTAGGGACAAAAAGAGAGAGAGGAAATGAAAGGGGGGGAGGGGAACAAAACAAAACTTGTTACTACTATATTTTTCACTCCAGTAAAACCTAAGGTTTTGGCACATATATAACAACAATTAATTTGGCACATATATAACAACAAGTAACAATTGTGAATTTGGCCATACCTGGTTCAGCTGGATACTGGTATTCTTTTCATCAGCATTTTGTATTACTTTCAGGACAATTTCAATAGTTTCATAGTCATATGGATCGAGCTGTTCAAAATGATAATATTTTATATGACTTCTCTTATAGAAAACACACGACTGAGTTGCACTTAATTCAATTTTAATTCTAATTAAATAGGCATAACATAGAAGAAATAGTAACCATCATGACTTATGGGCCTAAGACAACAGACTGTTTCAAAACTATAAATCCTAAGAAAAGAGCTAGGATATTGCAGAAAGATCGATTATGTTAGTGATAAACAGATGAGAAAACAAACAAAAACTTTCCCCCATATACCTTATTTTGCCCCTTTATACTTTTTTATGCAGCATTTAAAAACATTTCCAGTATGGTATGTTCTTTGAAAGCAACTTTGTATTTTACTATTTTGTTCTTTTTTTAAATGCATGTTGGGATAGGAAGACTTTATCTCTCTTTAGGGATAATTAGATGTTTTGCTCTACATTTTCCTCTAGAAAACTGAAATTTAGCATTTTCATTCTGTAGCAGAACTTGATGGGTTTTTTAAAAATTTCCATGGAATTATAGCCATAAGTGATTGCTTTACTCTGTCATTTATGTGATGTACAAAATTTGAGATAAAATGCATACTTTCTGTATGCATTTCTGTTTGTTTTGCTTTTTACTTGTGTATATATATTTTTTTACCTTGTACAATATTCCACTGAGGCTCATGACCAGATCTTTTGTGCTTTTCAGTAGAGGAATTATTGCTAGTGCTCTAGCTAGTAGAGTAGAATGAGGTTGCTTCTCGCTGCGTTCTGCAGAGTCATCTTCAATATGATTTGTATTAGCATTCTGGAGAAGAAGTGTTTCAATGCAAAGCTGCAGTGCGGCATCACTGTCCAGCATAAAAGTTCTAGAAGAGAACAGAATGTTTTTCTTGTATGGACCTTTTGTGCGGACAAGATACTTATTTTCTTATGAACAAATTCACCAAGGCCAGAATTTACTCTGATTTATGTACTTAAAGAAAACAAACAAAACCAAACAAAACAATTTGTATGTTATAAAAATCAAGATCTACTAGATCAAAACAGATTTTGATAGGTATCATTACGGCAGTAATTAAGCACAGGCCTGATTTGCTTCGATTATTACCTGCAGTAATTCAATATGAGATCTGTGTCTACTTTCGGATTTTGGACGAGAGTTCTTATGAGTTCCTTCTTCCTTACTGGTGGTTGTCTAAATGCATTCTTGAAAGAAATCTACAGATAAAGAAAGATTTAGTGTTCTTCCTCCCCAAAATAATTCTTTATTTAGCTAGCCTTTTAATTTTTCCTTTAGCTACAGTGCAGAGCAAGAAAAAGCAATATATTTTCTGAACATGCCCTGTGCCAGAAGTTGCTTAAACTCTTAAAGTTCTTTCACAGCAATCTTAATTAATATATTACTCAATTTCTGATTTTTTTTTTCAGCACAGGTAGAATGAAAAGTTAAAATAAAAACCCAGCTTCCCTTATACATGAAGCTGAAAATAATGCAAAATACATTTCAAACTCTATTAACATTTAATCAGTTAATAAAGCCATGAGAATATTCAAACTTACCCCAAAGTTACCAAGTTGGATACCCCATTCTGCATCGGTAATCAATTCTTGGAACTTTCTTTTTTCCTCCTCTTCACCACAGTGGGTAGCAAGCTGTGCTCCAACCAGAGCTACTGCCTTAAAGGAGAGAGTAGAAGTAGAATTATAGTAAACTTGAAAGTAAATAATACTAAGGCCTAAATCTCTGGGGGAGCTTAAACAATTCAGAGAAGATCACAGAAATGAACAAGGAGAAAACAATCTTCAGAAAATATAATTGGGGTTATCACACCTCCCAGGTTGGCAGATCATAGCTTCTGGTCTAGTTACTTTAAAACTGAGTTTCTCAAGAAATTCTCCTGGTGTTGTACTCGTGAAAGCAGTAACAATACAAAAGGGGTTTTTAGAACAACCTATTCTACAAATAGATGGCACTCTCTTTCCCTTTTTCTTTATCCTTTGCTTCCCATCACCCTCTGTATTGCAATTGTAGTTATTCCTTTCATTCTTCTCAATTACTGTCAAAGAACAACTTTTCCAAAATGTTGTAGCAGCAGTGCACAACTCTACTCTGCAATAAATAGAAGTGGTTTACCTCACAGCACTGCCCTTAGTACAAGTGAGGAACTTTGATCAACTGCAACCTTAATAAGAGCAAACTACTGCAGTTCTAAGACATTCCTAACATCTTGGAAGAAACTCTTTAACACACTGTGTATGTTGAAGAAAGTCTTGTGAATTTACCAGAACTTTTTTATAATTTTGCCATGAATTGTTTATGACATCCCAGAGTTTATTGAACATATCTTCCTTGGGCAAAATGGTGCAGTATCCCAAAGCCAGTTTCTGATCTATGAGACGACAGTTGAATACCTGTATATTTAAAAACAAAGTTATAAACATCTATTAAAATGAATTCTTAAGGTTTATGTAGAGTATATGAGAGACACATAGAGTCAGCCACTGTCACTGCTTCTTTCACCAATCACCATAGAAGCATGGTTTTCTAAGATGCACGATTTTTTTTCGATACCATGTGTTTTTTACAGCATTTGGTTGCAAGAAAATCTCAGAATGGGCTTTTGGTAGGAAGGGTAGCCACTTCTTCAGACAGAACTTTCTTACCTTGTGTAATAAGGTCTGGATAGTGGTCATAATTGCTGAAGTGCACTTCTGTTTCATACCAATGAGAAAGCTTTTGGTGTCAGATAGCATTTTGCCATCATGTAGCTAATATGGAAAAAGACAGTCAGCTCATGCTTAAAAATAGACCTTAATTCTCATGTCATTTATACCAAGAAGCACTATAGTAATTTTATTTTCAGAATAAAGTTCTTAGAAAGTTCCCTGTTGAATAGAAAGGGGATTTTTTGTTTCCTAGTACTTTCGAATGAAGTAATATTTCTTGAATATTATTCTTGCAGCCTTTCCCATGTAAATCAAAGACACAATGTGAAAAAATATAGTAACCTACTACTAAGAACAGTTTGATTCCTGATCTCCTTGCAGAGGCCTGGAGTTTAGCTCAGAATATACTTTGCAAAGAGAATCAGATGCTCATTGGAATTAGAGGAAAAAACCTGTCATTTCACAAAATGAGTGCACATCTGATCAGATGGTGGTAATTCTTCAGGAAGTTTTTGGGAATAGTCCTGTGCTAACCTATCAGTTACTTGTACATTACCTCTAAATTTTTTAGTGGCTGATATAGTTCTGTTTCTCCCCCCACCCCAGTAAAATTCAGCATAGTCTTTGTCATTACCTTTTCACTCAGGGACAAATCCATGTTGTTTGATATACCATGCTGAAGACAGGATCCAAATGAGCAGACTATTAGACGCAAAGCTAACTCACATTGACTACACTCCATGAGGTTCTGTAGCTCTGCACAGATGGGTGTTCTAGCTGGCAGCAAAAGGTTCTGTCCTATGATACATTTCACCAAACAACCACAGAAAACAGTTAGTGCACAGACAAATTCCAACAATAATATGCTTAATATATCAGACCAGTTTTTGTTTTTCTTTATTGAACTGATATAAGATCATCCTTAACTTCATTCATGCTTCTTTCATAAACCTTAAATTGGCAAGGTTTTTAATACAGAATCCCACTTCGGTTCAAAACCCAGTTGTCTCATCTTTTTGGAAAGCCCCAGACAGTAATTATGGCACGTCCGAACTGAGGAAATCTACAGTCTTTGACAACATGCCCCAAAATACGCAGGTGAATGACAGAAATCACTATCAAGCCTAGTTGTCTTATGCCTTGAATCAGGCTGTCTCCCTATAAGTAGAACATCTGTACATCTACATTAAAATCACAAGCTAGTGATGCTTATCTGGGTTTAACTTAAAGGCCACATTATCTAGTTATCTGGTTATTTATACTTTTAACATGGTCAATCTTTTGTCAGAGTACCTTTAGTAAATGCACAGTTTGCCAAGCTTGTCGAATCCAAGGGATACAGTTTGTTCTCTGAAAGACACATAATCTTCAGTTAGCTCAGAGAAGCAGAACATAAAGAAGCCAACTCCATAGTTTATATCCCCCTTAATGGTGCAATAGTGGTGTTAATTTCCACATGAGTGGAAATATTTCTGTTCCCACGTTAATAGTTATGAAATAATTTTATAGTGACTCAAAGTTCAGGAAAATTACCAGAAATAGGCAGAAGGGAAGCAATAGTTTCATATGCAACCGGAAGAGCTATCTGTGGATCAAGAACTATCCCATCTTCATTAAAGAAGTCATCATAAGTCCACTCTTCATAAGGATCTTTATCTCCTCCAAAAGCTGTTGCCTAAATAAAACTTGTTAATAGTATAAATAATCAAAAGAACCCACTAGGTATGTCTACTAATAAACACAGCATTGCAAAAGATTACAGCTTTCAACTACAAAAAAGAACATAATCTTTTATTGAAAATAGATTTCTATTATGCTACTCTCTTTTATGTTAAATAGGTAGAAAATCCCCTTAATCCCATATACTAGTAACATTTCTCTTTAACGTTGCATTTATTTAGTTACAAAGTCAAAACTCATTCATGAGTAATTTAATGGAGGATCAGTATCAACATTCATATTACAGACATTTTTCTTTTTTTCCTCTCCTTTTTAAGCAAAACAATATTCAGTGCATAAATATGCTTGCCTCTGTTCTTTGATCTACTCTGCTTGAACTGTAAGAGCCTATTTATTTTAAATAACTCAAAGCACTGCTTGACCTGAACAAAAAACAAAGAAGCTATTCAAGAACTTAATCCATCTTAAAATTTTACAAAACTGTTGGAAATGCTTTCACATAATACATGCATTTGAGAAACAATACGTGCATTTATAAAACAAACCCTCCCTGCTTTTGGTAAAGTCAGATTTCTATGCTCTCTAGCAGGCTTGGCAACAGCTTTTTCAATAAAACTACTACTAATTATCAGAGTTGCAGTATTAAGATTTTGTTTGTTTTACTGAAACACAAATTGTGTAAATCCACTTGTGCTTGTGTCACTGTTGCAGTGCTTTTAGTACTCACATCATCTTTCACTGGCTTATGCAGTAGGTTTTTGTTTGTTTTTAAGATAACTGATCAAATATTGACAGAGGTATTTGAAAGAATTCTCAATGAATCACTGAATGGTTGAGGTGTGGAGATTCTACTTTCGATATTCTGTAATTCTGTGAAAGTTCAACGAAAATACCTTTGCTGTAAATCCACAGTTTTCTATTTGGCATTGTCTGTAAATATCCTTGGCAGCCAGGGTGTATTTACATAGTTCCAGAGAGTCTAATAGCAAATCTGTAAAAATATCAATATTATTAGCATACTATTAATGGAAGGCTCACATTTCTTATTAAAATATTTTTTGTGTTGCCTATTTTTAGAGGCATGCATAGACATTCACTTTTTTCCTTATTCATTTGAAAAGAGTTGTTTGGAAAAATGATTTTCAAACATTATAAAAGATAAATAATAATTACCAGGACTGCATATGGTAGCTGCTTGGCAAGCCATTTCATAGACCACTGCCGGAAGATTTGTATCTTTAGGGGTGATCATTGGAACATCAGCTCCTAACATATGACAAAGCCTTTGACATGCCGAGAATAGTAGCTTCCCTGTTTCTTCATTACAGTGATTTTCATAGAACTCCCTATTAAAAAGATCTTTATTTTAGACAATAATAAAAATAAGAAGAGCATCAAATATTGCTTAAAAAGTTCCTCTTCCTTTTATGATAAGGGAAAGAAGAAAAAAAAATTATCCTTTGTTCTATACCTACTTCTACAAAGTATCAGAAATGGATACAAAAAAAGCCCATTAAAAAAAGAATTGAACTCCTCTGAAATTTTACCTGCATATTTTCATAGCGTCTTCAACTCTTCCAGCATCTAATGCTCTCAAGGCCAGTTTTTCTCCCAGTTCTTGTTCTGTCCTTTGCAGAAGCAAAGCCAGCCTATACAATCTTGACCCAGTGGATCGATTATTTGTTTTATCTTGTGAATCACAATTCACTGTTTGTGCTTTTTTGGACTTTGACAAAGATCTGACAGTTTCATAAGCTTTTATGTGCTCCTCAAGAAGCCTAGACATCAGTGAAGGATTCCTGAAATCTTTGACTGAAAGAAAGATATCAAAATCTTCCTGCAACAAAAGAAAATATGATGACCTAGGCTTTTACAGAAGTTAAATAGTTTCAGTCTTTCATTAATCAAAATCTTAAAGCATAGAGCAGGAGTACCCCAAAGAATCTATTGAGAATGATCTGTGGCTGATTCTAATACCAATACTATACCTGAGAATTGTATAGGATTGTACTAGTTGGCATGCCAGACATGACAACAATTTGAGATAAAACTGGGTTCTAGTATTTGGGAACTTTATCCAACATCCTTTATTTTTTAGCATAACATTTTTTGCACAAATGTTGCAAACATTTTTCATATCATTCTCATTATATGAGCAATTGAAACAACCACAGTAAATCAAAAGTAGCTTAAAACTAGGAAAATACCAACCTGCAGGATAGCAAGTGTTTCAAACATTTTCAGGTTTGCTTCACATTCATCTTTCTTTAGAGGATTTTCTGTTGGGGAAGAAAAACAATTACTTCCTGACTTCACTTACAAAAAAAAATGTAACATTTGCAAGTTATAGCTTACCTTTTTGAATGCTAAACAGGAATTTTAGGATTTCCACAAGTGTCTTTGTCATAAGCATTTGTGTTTTGCGCTGAAGGAGAGAGGGAGGGAGGGAGAGAGAGAGAGAGAGAGAGAGAGAGAGAGGTTAAGGTTTTGATTTGGTCAAAATGATGCCACTATCAGGTTGTGATTTTCAGGCTTCTCCTCTATTAAAATATTATGCAATGTTCAGCAAATATTTTTGGCAACAGTTCTAACTGCTAGAAATAACATTAGTTGAAAGGGAACAGAAATTTATTGTAAATATGTATTCTTTGTAGAAATAGCATATATTTATAGCTGCAATATATATTTACTCCACTACAGTTTGTTAGATCTCACAAGAATTTTGAAACACTTTTCACTTTGCCCTCTTTGTTCTTCTATCACCTTAGCGGAATAGTCTCCCAAAACAACTGTTAAACAAAAGAACAATAAATGCTCCTCTGTGGTTGCAAGCTAATGATGCACCTTGTTATGTGTGGTGCTTCATCCCACTTTGGTGTGTGGTAAAACCACACCTTCTACAACGTTTGAATTGGTTTGAATATTTCCAAAGCAACTGAACTAAGAGCTGGAAAATACATAAGACTGGAAGTATAATAATGCAGGAGAATTTATGCAAGTATTAACTGAGTTCAGATGGTGATGCCATTGTGTCGAGACGCCTTAAAAAATATCACTGAGTAATTTTACACCATACAGAATCAGATAATTCAGGAGGAAGAAATTTCCAGAGAACACATAGCCCAACCTTCTGCTCAAAGTAGGGCCAATTCATCAGCCCTCCTTGCTGAAAGAAGCAGCTTTTCTCCAAGCATTTTAAAGTGCATTAGTAGGAGTATTTAGAATAATTAATGTATACACTTTATGATTTGAAAAAAATAGTACCTCCTCAGAATTATCTGCTTTATTCTGCAATACCAGTGTCCCCCACACGGTCAATCTCTCTGCAACTTTCTCAGCTTCAGCAAGATTCAGTGATTTTAATAGAATAAGAGATTCTTCTCCCTGCAGGAAAAATACATAAATCAGGAACAGCAAAACAAAAAAAAGTACTTGCTTTTGGAAGGGTTTAATTTTCTTAACAGCTACGTTAGGCAGGTTTCTTTACTTCAATACAATGCTTGTCTGATAGTCTGGTCAGGATTTATGCTCTGTTGATGATCCATTGTCTTCATAAAATGCATTTACCATGACATGATTTCCTTAAATCCCATGAATAATTTTCACTAAGCTACAAAGCATTCAGTGTAATCTATGTGTTTACTTGCTGAGGGTGATAAAAAGCAAATTAAATTGCAGTCTTGTAAAATAGCTCAGAAAAGTCTTAAGTTTGAATTATTCAATACCTTGCATCATAAAACATATTCTGTGAGGTATATACAAAACTTAGGCATTCTTAATATCAAAGAAGCAGTTATGTATTGTGGTATAACATTGCATTACCAACTCATTTTTTGGTCATATTAGTAAGAAAGCAACTTGTTCAAGCAACTACTTCACTTTCAAAACTTCAAAAAGGGTTCACTATGTTTAAAACTCTGACAAAGGTCTTATTTTCATTGTTAAGTATAGTTAGTTTGTGTGTGCAATTAATAGAAGTGCAATAAAATACAAATAGGAAAACTGTGTATCAAATTTGCAAATAGTGCAACTCCTGTCACTGTTTTGGAAAACGGGGCACAGTGTCTTTCACTTCTGAGATCGTGGCATGAATTATTCCAGTACCCTTTCTTTATCAATCAGGTCTATCATTCTCAAGATGTAGACTTCTACAGTGGGCAACATATATGCTGTTACAATTTTCAAAGCATCTTCTAAAGAAGTAGGAGTGTCTTGTTTAAGAATATATTTCACCAGCCTCTGCAAGAGAAAAGTTAAAAAGTTTAGCTTGTTATAGGATAAAGTCATTTATGTGAAATAATTCTACATTGCAATTCTACAGCCTGTACTGAGCAAGTTATCTAGAAGTTGCCTGCAGATAAAATTTTWTTAAATACTAACATTTGATTAAATGGGATCAGGCTAGGAAAAGTTGGTATAGATGTGTAAGTTATCCTTTGTAATTATTAGCTCAGACAGTGCCAGGAAGTCCCAACCACATAAGCAAATGGATGTTGATAACAGATGGCAGGTGCTATCTGCTAAATTCTTTGACAAAATCTGGCCTTTAATATCCCAAATTACATGCAGATAAACATGCAGATTTTTGCTTAATAGAAGTCATAGGAAAAGTGCTGATCACCATTATCATCTGCTTGTCCTTTAAGAGATTAGTATCTCTTATCCCATAAGCTCGCAGAAGTTTCTTCATCTCCATCAGTTGGTAATTCTCCTGCAATAACTTTACTCTGCAGAAAAATCAGACCATTATTAGTCTCCTTGCTACTTAGAATTGACCATCATAATACAGAGCATACATTACTTCTTTTCAAAAAAGAAATAAAAATAAAATGTTGTTGAAAGAATACAGCAAATCATCTGAAGAATGAGAGGCAGAGTGTGGGATGTTGCCTTACTTGAAGTGATTCATTTCCAAATGTTGCTTTACCAGCAGCTCCACTGCTGCGCTCCATGGTACCATTGCACCATGCATGATTTGCAGAACTGCATCAAATTTCAGCTATAAAAGAAAATAAGGAATTATTTTTTTTTCCAAATAACGTATCAGGTAATCTCAAAGTATCATTCACATACGATTGATTTAGATAAGCATTTTATTTCCTGGCCTAATCTCTACTTGTATAAAGGCAAAATCATTATCATAATATGATATGTTAAATTAGATTAAAAAATGTATATAGTCACTTATGACACTGCAGACCTCAAGTTTCACATCTACTAGAACTGGTACACTTTCCATGTCATGTCAACAAAACTATGCTGTTATGTCCCTAACTTGAAACCTTGCATAAACAAATATTTAAAGCATTTGAGAACATTTTGTTTCATCTAAACTAATACATTATAGCTACATAATGACTACCTGGTAAAACATACGTACATCTGTATCAGAGATGCAGCCAATGGCAGCTATTGCCTTTGCCTCCCATGCAGTTTCAAATACTGAAGTAGACCGTGTACGACAACGTTCCAGTAAGTCCTGTACATTTTGATAAAGATTAGGATATTTGAATTTAGAAAAGCCAGGAATACACAATGAAATAGACAACAATGAAAAGGATTTTGCATACTAAAGGAAAGATTGGCTAGTCTCTACTTTTTCTGTTATTCTATTGCCGAAATAGTAACTTTCAATAAATTTTTATTAACAGAGATAAGCTTATTAGGAAGCTGGTCTTGAAGTTAAGTAAACAATGGTTTGATCAATTGGATTAGATTTCCTGCTTATTCATGCTTTCTTCATACCTTTATATACTGTAAAAGTAGTTCATCTTTTTGTAGATTATGTTCGCACAGGTAAGGCTTTATAAACTTTTCCAAAATGGATGGGACAAGCTCAGGTGCCAAAATTTTATCAAACATGCGAAACACAATAGTAGTTGCATTTTCCTGGGCAAAAAGTAGAAAAACTGCAGGTTAGAACATGTTATGTTTTACAATGAGATCCTTTATTTCTCTGATGACCTAATTCAACTTCTATTGCCCAAATAAATCAATGGAAAGATCTGTGAAATTAAAATCTATTTAGCTGACATAGAAGTAAACAATCAATGTTTTTCTTTTACAAAGCAGTTTATTTTTCAGTTGTACTTTTAGGTTTTCTGTTGCTAATGCTTGGACCAGGATTTAGTATATATGATTTGCCAAAAATTAAAATGAATGGGGTTCAAGTCATACTTGTTCTTAGTACCACAACACATTATACACTTATATTCCCACTGAAACAAAATTTATAACACAATGTATAAAATAGTCTTACAAATCTTACAAATAGTCTTATAAAATAGAAATAGTTTATGAATACTAGTGAAGATTAAAACAATTAGTGGAAAATTTCAGAATTCTTGTTCTGCTGATCTTCAAATCCTATCTTATAACATGTTTCTCCTTACCAGAACTATCCACTACAAGCATTGTTTTTGAAGTGCTGCATAATTACCTTTTCAAAATCACAGAGTGCCAGCCTGCAGTTGTATTTTCTGTACAGATTTATCAGTTCATGCAAATCATTTACCAGCTTCTTTAACCGATGCACCTCTTCACAGTCACCACATCTCTGTAACAGTATTCATAGGTAAAACATTAGATATCTTACTACAGTCTTCAAATCAGTTGAATGCTGCCATAAAGAGGAAGAAAAGAATTTATTCTCCATATTTCTGATATAAGGATAATTGACTTACAATGTAGCAAGAATTTCTGATAAGGTGCTAAGGAAAAAAAAATCTCTCTGAAGATGAGGATAATTCAGCATTAGAAAGACAGTAGAATTAATGAATAGAGAATGTCCTTGTTTTCAGCACATCTATTTAGATTCAAGCTTTATCATTTTCCACTTTCATACTACCGTTTTTATAGATGCTTCTGTATATCTAGAATATGTAATATATAGATTTGTATTTACATAACTCACTATTTATAACCTAGCTGATTTTAAAATAGCTATGTTAGGGTCTAGAGAAAATGAGTAACAGCAAAAGAAAAAAAATTTGATGGAGATGAAACATGGTTCTGATATAAGTTGCATAGAAGTTCTTTACAGAAATTGAAGGCCCTTTTCGTACACAAGCTTATTTGTGTATTCCAAGATACTCAGATATATTATGCATGTTGAGACTGCATCTTTATTGGTATTAATGTTGTACCAATTTTATTTTTCATCTTCTTTAAACCAAGGAAGATTGGAACTCAGCCTTTTCCTTTCTCTGAATTCATTCTTTCTCACATTAGATCCCCAATTACGGGGATTAATAATCTAATCWTTCTAGCTCAATTCTAGCACAGGGCATATGTTCAGATATTTCTTAACATCAAATAATTACATTCCTGTCACTTTTCTTACCAAAGGATTCCACTGGTAAAATGTTGTCRTTCCCATTTCACCTTGATTTTTACTTGTAAAAAAGGTCTCTGCCATTTGCAGCCCGTTTTCTGGCCAATTTGCCTGTTAAAAATAATTGACGTCRGCAAACAATATTACACATAAAGAAATGCAAGACAAAGTTTCTGCAGTTTGACTAACCTTATCAGTTAATTCAAGATTTCGAGCAGCTTGTTCCAGCCATTTTGCTAATATTTTCTGAAATAAACACAGTTACAGGAATTATGCCATATAGCAAAAGAAAATTTGAATTTAAAATTATATTTAAAATTGGTTCTTTTAAAATTGTAGGGGAAAAAATAAAGCAAGAAGAGAGTTCTGGCTTTTTTTTTTTAAAGGCCATTTCTCTAGTTTTGACTATAAAATTGTCTTGGTCTAAGAAAATTACATTCTGTATTTATTAAGTCTRTATACAGATAAGACATTTCCTTAGTAGTCCTACCTGTCCCTTTGGCACAACTCTTCTTAAGAAAGGTATCACAACATTTTTAAGCCATAAACATAGTTCMTTTATAGGAACTGTGACATGGATGGCATTGAGCAGATTCTCTAGCATTTTCTCATCAAAGCAGCTTTCAAATTCTGCCTAAAATATCAAGACAGAACAGTTAACAGGTTTAAAGGGGACTTAATATCCCCCATAAGCACCAAAGCGATGGCTATGTTCTCTCACCTGATGCCTAAGCCAGAGGTACTGTGCACAAGGTAAATTTCCTTCTTCTAGCTGAAAAAGGATGTTCTTGAAAATGTCTTCATTATTTAAGAATTCTGTCCATGCAATACCACTGAAAGTTAAGAAAAGAAAAACTCTTACTATAAATCAATAGTAAAAAGAAAGGTGAGGAAAAAAAACTTTGCTAACTAGTTCTATGTACTGTAAGAGTCAAGGGCACTTTTAAATCGTGAAGGAGGGAATTACATGCTTCTAACATCACTTAAAAAAATGTATACACACACACATATATGTCTGCACAAGACATTTGTGTGCAATAGGTAACAAATGTTTTCAGCATATAGGCTAATTCAACTTCTCATCCTCCACAGTGGAAAAACGGGAACTTCAGGAAGAAAAGCAGGAATTTAAAGTTTAGTAAACTTTACAAGTTTAAAAATMTCAATTTCAATTGCAGATGCATTAGCCATTTAAACTACATTTACCTTCAGTCTTCACAAATCTTAAAAAGCAAACCTGAATTTCTCTAGTCCAAAGGCTCCATAAAAAGTGGTAAGTCTTGACTGAGCTCTCAATACCTGTTTACAGACAAGAGATTAAGATCAATATCTGGATTACAGAGGATCAGTATTACATGGTTAGAACAACTATCATAAAGCAGAGATGCAGGAAAAGACTAAAAATCTCAGTTAATTACATAGGTAATACAGTTTGTCTAAAAAAAAAGATTCATCCAGTTCAAGAATAATCAATGAAAACTSTTTATAAAAATGAAATTTTGTATTAAAGTTGTGTGATATACAACAGAACTAAGAAATAAGTAAATAAAAGCCCCTAAGAAAGTTTCTTCCTCCAAATCTGGAGCACTTAGTAATGAATCTTTCTATGACTGAATGAATCACTTAATTCAGAAAGCTGACAGTACTACAAACTTCTTGAAACCCTACATCATAAGTGTTTAGCATTTGGTAGGACATATGCTTGTCCTCACCTCAGTTATGGATACCAAAGGTCCATCAGGTGACAAAGCAATGGGCCTGTCATCTTTCTTCAAGATCTGAAACAAATACAGAAAAATTTGGCTGACACCTCAGTTGCTGCAGAATGTATTGGACACGGTAATATGAATTTAATGAGGATACTAGCAAAAACCTATCACCTCTGTAAATTGTGGGCTTTATTCYACGATTTTGGCTGTAACTGTATTTCTACATGCATGCAGGATCAGACAGATAATATGCACTTCTGGTTCTGTATAACAAGGTGGGAAAGACTAAAATGTTTAGAGGGGAAAAATCACATATTTTGTGCTTTCARTTCTGAAAGGCAAAGAACTTAAGACCACTATTCAAAACTAAAACTTTAATATGAAAACAAAACAGCAATTTTTTAATGCCCTTACACAGGAAGCGGTAAAAATAATTCATGTAAGTTAAGTAGATAATTAACCCACAGACTGCAAATATACCCTAGAAGCAACTTTTTCTCTTTTAGTCAACATGACTAGCATATGTGCTGTTAATAGCAAGAACTAGACCAGAAGAAGCTTTGCTTCTTTATGCAACAAGAGTAAACAAATAAGAAGTTTGGTTAAAAAAGAGAGGGGGAAAAAAAAAAAAGAAAAACTTACCCTGACTTTAGCATAGTTTAACATTTCTTGAGTTGTTTCATATAGTGGCCATGGAGCATTTATGCAGTAATCCACAACAAACTGGCTATCCTGTTTGAGGAAAAAAATAGATTAATTCTGACTGCCTTTATAATTTGAATGAAAATATACGGAAGAYTGAACACAAAAACGTACCTGAATTTTTTGCAAATTTTCTTTGGCTTCATTCACAAGATCAAGCCAGACTGTTTGACCGTAACTCCCAACAGAAGCTGAAGCYAATCTCTCTAAAATAGTGTTTGCTTTCACTTTGTATACAAGCTGTTGTTAAAAAACAAACAAAAACATTCCATTTTCAATTTGATATACTTCAACTTAAAAGRTCTAAATACTGTCTTTTTAAAGGCTATTGCTAAAATCTATCTATTCCTGCAGATTGTTATAAGAAATACAGCACAACCTCCACTGGAAAAGAGAATTTGGTTTTAASTTCAGCTATGCTAATTTATCTCCCAATATAATTATCAAAAATGGGCAACTTACCTCAACATCCAGTTCAAACTGAATAGCAAAATTCTCAGCTTCAGCAAATTTGTGCTTGTGAAGTAAGCGACTTAGTCTAGGGGCGAAATAAAGTAAAGCATCATACTTAAATTTAAGTGCCAAGTTACAGATTGGGAAAAAAACCCTAAATTTCAAGGAAAAAAGTACCTGTTTTCTGGCAAGGCTTCTGTTAAACTTCTCATCACAACAACAGAAACTGGGCCTTCAAGGGAACTGAGGATGATAAGGGAACAATTTTAGCTTACCTACTGTAAAAATAACAGTATGTAGAATGAAGCTGCCATTTTTATACAACAGTAGTCTGGTGCTATGTAGAACATTATCTTACCTCTGATGATTTTCGTGAATTCCTTCCAAGAAGTATATTGTATCCTGTGATAAGAAAGAAGAGAAATCATTAGTGTTTCAAACGAGTCATAAAATAGCATAACTGTGACTTCTTATTCTTCCCCCTGCCCCAAATCATAACCAGGCCACACTATATCCATCATCACATCTTTTAGAATTTGACTTCTTCCTGCAAAATCTTTAGCATAATTTCATTCTAATCTAGCAAGAATAACACAGTACTCTCTTTAATAATTATATCTACTCATATAATTACATTTCTTTAAAGAAAAAAAATTAAACATACTGTATTGATCCCACTTTGAACAAGTGAAGAAACAATAGATACTTCCAAAGAATAYAACAATTGCATAGTAGGCAGTGCAAAAACCATTAGACTTTTCATCTGGAGAAAAACAAAAGAAAAYAAAAATAACAACAGGAAACAGAAAAAAAGGAAAGAACAAAGGCACAAATATAAAAGTCAGRAAAAAAAAGTGTGTCCTATTTGCAAATAATTTCTGCGTTATTATAGAATTAGATGGAAGTCYTTATTAATATATACACATATATAGTGCAGTTTCAGATATTCTTATCTGTAATTAGACCTGCTTGATTTAAAATATTATACTGTGTTCCCTGTGGCATTCTATTTCAGTTAATGCTACTATTTGCACATGCAGATAAATGCTGAATGCAGCAAAGAGTGCACTAAAGAAACCTGTGAAGGTACATGAGACAATAGCAAATTCTGCTGCCTATTTGGCTACTATTAAACCACAATTAAAAAATAATCAAACAGCAGAGTTGCTTGCCCTCTAGTCTTAGAAGAAACAGTAGTGACCCCCCTTTTCAGTATACTAAATTATCTAGATGGCAAGTCTCAGTTTTGATCTTGAACCCCTGTAAATTCTGCATGCCCAAATATTTAGCCATCTTGTATTGTTTTTCATTAGTAATCACGTAGTGATTGAGGAAGAGAAAACAGATAAAGAGGTTGTACCTGTTTATTATCGGGTACTGTCAGGATTATCAGTTTAACACTGGCAAGCCCTTGTCTACGGAAGAAAGAAGAAAAAGAGCAAAATGTTGTATCAATCTACTGTTAAAACTATTCCAGCTTCTGAGTTTTATAAAATTTAGTTTTCCATAGAAACTGGTATATTTTAGAATCTTATGAAGGACCTAAAAATATTTTAGCATATAAAGGACATTTAATTTCTGACCTTTTAAATCTTTTATAACATGTATTCTTTTCTCCAATAGCCAGAGTAATGGAAAGAGCAAGTATTGTTTTCAATTAACTTCTTTTATAGTTAAATAGAACATCTTTAAGGAGGCTAGTGTAACTTTTCTCCATCTGCATAACGAAGATCTTTCTGAAGATATAGCTTTTTTATAACATCAGGTTTGTAAACAATATTACACGCCTTACTCCGAACAAGGATTTCCAAAGTAATATAGATTCAGTTGAAGCTTTCTTAGCAGAAACAGACAAGCCAAGAAAAAGAATCTCTGAGGAAAACAACACGGATTTTTGTCTACAATGCAGACTCAAGAATACTTGAGCTACAGTCCAGTATTTTGGCCCACTGCCTAGAAAAATCTCGGCAAAATACATGGAGGTGCAGAAGGGATGTTTCCTACCATGTAGTTCAGTTCTTAGACTTCTTGATGTCCAAGCATGACTCTAGTTGCTTATCTGAACTAAATAGAAATTATTCTTTCTAAAAACCCTTTACYATAGAAATATCAAGTGACTGTTGGGCATTTCTTGTAATGATAGACAACTTTTCAGAACTYATGCTATAACACTTACTTACTGTGTGACTGAAGAAGAATCTGAATCTGTAGTTAGAAGATATTCTTCAACATGAACTGAGGGCCAATCCCAAATTAAAGTAAGAGTATAGACATCCCACATGCTCAAAATATTCTAGATTAAAACATACAAACATTAAGATATGCTCTCATAATTTTCTTCACAGATTATATTTGTTGTCTTTTTTTTGAGCAGAATGTTATATTCCATAGTTTAAATAATTACTATGAGGAATAATAAAAAAATAATACCATAGTCTCTGAAAAGATAGGTATCATTATTTTATAGAAATATATATATTTAGAGATATAATTTCAAAATAATTGTTCTAAATTGTTACACTTACCTCTGTATCTAAAACAAGTAGAAGATTGTCAAGAACCTGAAGTTTCATTGTACCTAAAAATAACAGTCATATTTATGTAAATTTAATATTTTTCTTAAAAATATTTGAAGCACGAATGTTTTATAATATACAATCAAGCATTGAAAAAAAAATGTTTAACTTTACAGACTTATGATTTACCATTAGAATTTTAGCCTCAACAAAAGCAGAATTCATAYAAACTCAAGAATTTTGAAGCATACACCTTGATTGTATTTTTACAATATATTTTTTCTTTGTATTTACTAAATAAGGCAACTGAAAATGTATTACTTTAATTAAATATGAATTCTACATTTTTGGATGAAGAAATTTTTTTTTTTACCTTTGATTAGACTTGAATCAGCAAAACTTTGTGCAGATATCAGATTATTGGTACTGTCTATCTCCCATTTGGAGAGTACATAATCACCTTTACCCTATTGACAAAGTAAAATGGGGTTTTACATAGTGTGAGATCAGTGACAGATTTCGTTCTTTAATTTTGAAAACATTTGTAAAGTTGCAAGACTAATCAAATACTCTCTTCCCTGTGAATGTTGTGAGTCAGAAAAACTATGTTTAAAATTTAGCTTTTCTCCTTCCCCACATCAAGAATGGCTTTTACTACATATATGATCACAGTCGGAATATGAAATCTGAATGATGTACTGACCCTACTGAGAGAAACTGCATTGAAGTCAACAGGCTTCAAACAATGAACTCTAAGAACATTTCCAATCCAGCAGAGCATTTCAAAAATTTTTAAACTTATTTGTTAGTTCCTTTAGTTAATACATGCTTAAGTTGTTGAGACCTTAAATTATTACTTTGACAGGACTTTATTGAACGGGAAGTCTTGATAGGAATTCTTGATTTGATAGGATAGGATAGTCTTGATTTGATAGGAAGACTTTGGCCAACTTTGGCTTGTTCTCTCTAAGCCCAAGGACTAGACTATATGCTAGCATGGCAAATCTAGGTAYCACAGTGATTTATTAAGGTCTAAGGATTTATTAAAAAAAAAAAAAAAAAATCCGCTACTTATAATAACAGTGCCAGGTCTGAAACAGCAATTGTTTCCTTAGAGGACAAAACATACGCACAAATAGAACTTAAAGCTTTAAAATCTGCAATGAAGGAACTGACAAACAAGAAGCTTTAGCCCATAAAACATAATGTTTTCTTTTTCAACTTTTTAAGGAGATAAATATTGTAGATGGAACAAATAACATCACTGATCACAAAAATCATTATAAATATTTTTCTATTTACCCCTATTATCAGATGGATGTTGTTCATTGAGTTACTTATCACAAAATTCTGACAGCCAAGGCTGTGATACTCTTCTGTGGAAACGAAAGCTGTTTTAATCTGTCCTTGTAACTTGCAGGGGAGGAGGGAAAAGGAAGGAAGGAAAACAAAAAGAAATTAAAAGTTATCTATATATCAGTGCATGAAACTTTGAACTTAACTGCTTACTTCTCCAATACAAGGAAAAAAAAGACACACAATTACTAGTTGTAGGAATAAACCAGTAAGCAGCTCTGACCCATGCATTTCATAGTTATGTTACAAACTCTGTGCATTATATATATGCTGGAGAACAGGTATTTCTTACCTTCTTTGCTGTAATCATATCCATATTGTCAATTGCTATGTTAAAAAACATATACACATAACAGTGTTAAAAAATATACAGGACCAAACTCACTTTAAGATATTTGATGCTAACCTTACTATTATGCAAAATACATTGGCCCCTATCACTGATAGGGTCTTTTTCTGTGATCACAATGTGAAGTTACAGAAAAATAACTAGTAACTATCTTACACGGCATTAAAAATTGCAGTACAATATTACATTATGACTTAAATACTGCTTCCATAATACTCAATACTCTCTCTAAAACAGTGACTTACTAGAACACAAGCTAAAGAAGTTTTTGGAAGGATGCAAAAGTAATTTTACTATATAATTAATTGTATTTCAGTTTCCTTTGGAAACAAACCCAAGATCACACAAAATAGTTTAGGACAAGATTCTTAACCCCACTGAAAAGATGCATAGAAAAGCATTTTAAATAAAGATAAATACAGTTCATATGAAAATCCTAAAAACTTTGTAGATCATCCTACCTTCTTGAGTTTTTGCGAGTGRGAGGCACATAATACAAAAGAATCCATTGCTTGTGAGAATGAACATATGATAGATACCTTTAAAAAGAGAAAAAAAAAAGAATTAAAAAACAGAAACAAAAAAGGAAACAAGAACTGAGATAAAGGCAAAATCATTTGAAACTTACCTGTATCTGCATTATCTTTTTCAATAATGAGATTTAAATAAGTCTTTTCACTTGAAGATTTTTCAACTAAAATCTAAAATAGAATCAACATAAAAACTATTACTCCTATTATTCTACCTTTGGGGAGGGAAAAAAAAAAAAAACCAGACTTTTGGAACAGAGCAGAAGAGTAGTCCTTAGACTTTGATCTTCATGTTCTCATTGAAATGATTCTTGTTTATATAGCATATACATATATATGGACATATTGTGCTTATTTGTTATTTACAGGAATAAGAATGCCTCACTAATCTGTATAATTATTTAAAATGGAGACAAGTTACAACTAAAGACCTTTCCAAGTATATTTGGAGGGGAAAAAAAAATCTGAAAAAGAAAGGCTTTCAAGAAAGACAAAGTGCTGTACCTTAGTTAACAAGGTTTGTTTTGATGGTATGTGAATAAGATGGAGATTGCCACTTCTCTCACCAACCACAAGAAACTGTTTTTCTTGACACATACCAACCACATCCACATTAGTATCTGAAAAAAATCCATAATAAAATAACAAATATTAAGATTTTGTTATTAATAGGAGTTCATATCTGAAACACAGGAGTGGACAATATCACAGATTTTTTTTTCTTCCAAAAATATTTACTTTGATAAATCAAAATGCTGCGAAAGGCATAGTTGCATTTCAGAGAGGGATAGATTGTACAGAAATGCTGTTAATAGCACTCAGAAACAGCAATACCGTTTTATTATTTAGSCATACATTATAATGCTTCCTTCTGCAGGGTAAACGGTCATGCAAGGTATTTTTAATATTCTATGCAAACAAAAAAAATACATATTTTTAAAAGCCCATTTTCACTTCTAGCTGAATTGTAAAGTGATGATCTTACCAAACTGAATGTGCATCTGAAGAGACTGGCCAGTACTGTCGAGAAGTACCACTGATCTGTCAACCACAATAATGTTGCCATCCCTGGAGCTGCACGCATACAGCTGTGGATTCACTGAGACCTACGAGAAAGGAGGTTATAGCTGTAAATATAGCTGTAATTGCTCTAGTGCTGCAGAATACGACAGCCAAGTTTTGGTAATTATCAAGAGGGAGGAACAGGCGGCCCTRGTGACATCTACCTTCTCGGAAGACGTTATTTGGACCAGTGTATCCACTTGGTAGAGCGCAGTCCCGCACTCCTGCCCCAACCCCACGAAGAGCCTCTCGCTTCCTGTGTCATCGTTCGCAAGCAGCTCGATATCGTTCCACATGTTTCCCTGCAACAAAGACAGCAGGAAAATACTTTAAAAAAAAAAAAAAAAAAAAGGTTATTTTTAAGACAGAGATCTTGTAAATAAAACTTCCTCACCGCCGCCCCGAGAAGCTGCCCCCGCCGCTTCAGTCTTTAAAATTGGCGGGAACCGCTCGCCATCGCTACCGGCCGCAGCTCAGGCCAAACTTCCTCCAGAAGCGAATGCCTTTCCCGCCCCTCCGCGTTGCTAGGACACTGCCTACTCCCTCTCTCCTCCCAGAGTGCCCCGCGGCGCGTCCCGCTCGCTGCCTCTCTCCGCCCCGCTGCATCCGGGCACCTGGCGGGAGGGCGAGGGCGGGGCTCGTCGCTTCGCGAGCGCCGTGGCCGCTGCCGTTGCGGGAGGTTGGGTCCCTGCGAGCAGCCGGTGATCGGAGCGGCCTCCCGAGCGCCCGGTCATGGCCGTAAGTGGGGCCCCTCCTCGGCGGCGTGGAAAGGGGGCCGCGGCGGGAGCGGGGAGGGGAAGAGCAGGCGGGCGAGCGAGGGCTGGCTCGGGRAGCTGTGTGCGCGCGGAGACAAAATGGCGCCCGCCGCTCCTTCCCCTGCCGGCGCCATGATGGGCCTCGGGGTGGGGGTGGCCGCCTCTCGCTCACTACCGCTTTCCCTGTTTCTAGAAGTTTCTGTGCTGTCTCCCTGGGCTTGAACAGAAGCAAGGGGGGACCCTCTGGATCGGCTGTTGCTGTTTCCTGCTGTAGGAAGAGAGCAGTAGAGAAAAGCGATTCTCAGAAAGGCTGTGGAGCACCAACTCTCTGGGAGGGGAGAAGAGGGAGCATCACTCTGGCAGTAGGCCTTATTCAGTTCCCGCTCATGCAGGGTTCCCTTTCTTACTGTTTTATTTCTGTGTTTGGCCACAGGTTTGTTATTTACAGCACTGCCTACACTGAGTTTAGATGGCTTTCTTCTTCCCTCCTCTCCCATTTTATGGTTAACAACGATGGGAAACATCTTCGCTGTATTTAAGTCACTTTGTCTTTGCTAGGGGTTTGTGAAAAAGCAAAGAAAAATAACATTGACATGATTCTTTRGGTTCATATATGACACAAGATTGCTGCTTTATTCCCTTCAGTGGTCTGGTAATGTATGAATATATTTTCCCTGTAATTGAGATAAAAGGGACAACAAAGAGAGTTATGCATGATGTCTTTTTAAGTTTTTCAAAATTAATTTTATTCCACTCGAGAATGCAGAAAAGTCACAGTTTAGATCAAAAGTAATAAAACTTGTCAAAGTTGGTTTTTAAGTGTGTTCTTGGTGCTTAATTTGATAATTACCTTTTCTTGAAAATTTGACTAATTACTACAGAACCAGAGGACCATGTGGAGAAACTGATCTTGTCAAAAAAAGGATATTTTCTGTCAGCTTATGTAAATTTAACCTCTTAGGAGTAAGATGAAAAATATCCATAACTGAAGAATTTTGGGCTTTTGCCCATATGTTATTGATACTGCCTTTGAGATTCCTCATAAGTAGCAAGTGGGAATTCAGTGATGCTGATCCTGTGGCAAATCCACATGTGCTATATTAATTGAGAATAGTCTTGTTAGTCAATCGGTGTTTTCTGTCTGGCTCTCTTCATAGGGTTGAGAAATTGTTGCAAGGCACAGTGTCTGTGCTAATTAATGAGCAGTAATGTATATAATAAATAGGCTTGTAGCCCTGAAAAAATGTGTCAGTGGGCTCAATTTCTGCTAGATACAGTATTTAAGAAAACAAAACAAAAAAAAGAATCTAGACTGCAGTCTGATATTTTTCTTACCCTTATAAAACTTAAAAATGGTCTTGTGTAAATATCAAAGTTACTTTGAAAGTTTCATTAGTTGATTTGTGGAAAAAAAGGGAGTGACTGGATAGAACAGGGAGAAGACTTCTAACAAAGTCTTAACACACTTTTAATTAGGATGAACAGATGTGATGGATGCAGAATGCCAAGGACTCTCATGGCCGAGGTCACAAATAGGAGGGTCATTCCCTGTTCTAAGAATTTTCAAGGGAGTCAGTGGAGTATTAAAGTAGTGTAACAGAGACTATATTGAAAGGTTTTCCACAGATGCAGTTTCTTGATGTTTCCCTCCTGCTTTCCAGATAATGGTGTGTTTTGAAGTAAATACTATTATATTGTGGTAAAGGGGTACCTTAGTTTACATCTCACCTGGAGAGATTTAYTTGTGGGTGTATTTTTGTGTACCTGCAAGTTAATAAAGACTTGGATAGACTGAAAATCAGTAGCTGAAATACAAGTTTTATATAAAAGCTTGTAACTTATAATAAGTTTTAAGATTTAGCTGTAGTGTTTCATGAAGGAAACCTATAATACACAGTATTTTTAACCACGATGATCAAGAAAGCTAATGTATTTATAGCATCTGTTGTGGTTTAGCAAAAAAAAAAAAAAATCAAAATAATAACTGGTTGTGATCTGACTGCTTGTCACACCTCCTGGTTAGGTTACAAGTAAAAATACATCTCTGAACTCAGATGAGGACTTGAGCCTATATACTTTTCTATTATTTTGAGTCAGTAGCATTGTCTCTGCCAGATTGTCCATGATGAAACCTTGTGCAGCCTCATCACACTCAGAAGGTGTGATTGTGCCTGCCATTTACATGATGCAATGATGTAAGCATGAGGTCARTGAGTCCGTGAAGGCACTAATGAGCATGTTTTCATCATTTGAAAAGATTTCTATGTGCTCTTTTCATTCTATTCCTTCATCATTGTACAACATGCCCCTTGTAAACATTCTTTTCTCTCAAGATTTTTGCGCAGTCAACAGTCTTCACTGCTACACACCAATATAATTTTTTTGCTTTAGGATTGGAAGGAAAAGAGGGAACATCTTGCTTTATCTGCAGATTTTGATATGTAGGGATATCTTTTTTCTTTTTTTTGTGTTTTTGCCTAGAACTGCTGTTTTTCATTATTCAAAAATYAATAGTTTTAAAATACCATGAACATATTCATAAAACTATAATATGATATACCTCATTTCATTTTTCTTCGTAGTAGATGCTGTACCTCAGAAGGTTGTGAGGGTTCTGTGCTGTGCCTCAGTGATGTCCTAACTTGTAAGGTGGCTTCAACCTGTTGAGGCAGCATAGTATTTAAGTAATCTTAGTGACGTTAATGTTTAAAGGTAATTGACCTATGATCAACACCATTTAGAGAYCACTGAATCAAAACTTTTGTAAAGTTTAGTCTCATGGAGATTTCCCAAACCTTATGGGGGAAAAGTTCTTAGTTTTGTTACTTAAATATTCCRTCTTTGATTGCAGGGTAGTGATACAGAACGAGATGGAGTGGCCCCAGAAAAGTCCTCTCCAGAAAGAGAGAAAAAAAAGGAACAATCAGATGCATCTAATTCTCCTAGAACATCAAAACATCATTATTCAAGATCACGCTCACGGTCACGAGAAAGACGACGAAAGTCAGGTATGGTCCTTATCGTAACAAAGTCACTTTAACTGCATATTTATGTAAATCTGGTAGCTAATAGGATTTTACRGTGTAGTGAAGACTTAAAGGCAGGATATTATTTATCTGAATAATTAGCAGGTATCCTGACAAAGCTGTTGTTATAGGGATGAAATTCCGTTGTTTCAGAAATGATGCAGCTGGGGTGAAACTGAAAGTGTTCAGAAGTGTACACTATTACATTCTGGTATTACTGAGTTGTGCACGCTTTTTGAACTGAAACAGTTTAAAGGCTACTGAGGAACAATACAGATTCAGTYTCAATGATTTGAAAGAATTGGAAAATTTGAAACTACTGGTTTTAGTTTTGCATCTCAAGTTCATTGTATTGAAATGCTCTTCAGTCTTAATGACTGAAATGCTAAGGGAAGAGGTCAGTGTTCAGAGGATATAGTGAGGAGGTAAATAAAAGTAGTTGCAGAGGGAAGAGGGAAAAAGATACTGTAAGTTTGTCTTCATTTTAGTTAATATATGGTTAGATGATTTTTCATGGTTTCTAATAAAGTTACTTTACATGGAAAAAAATATATAGAATATGACTAAGATGATGAAACCTTATTTTACTCTGAAAGTTGAATAAGTGAAAATTTAAAAAAAAAAAAAAAAGAATGGGAATAATGGCTAGAGTTGGTTTTAAGTCCTTATCCCTGTTTTTTTTTGAGGTAGAAAAGCTAAAAGGAACTAGAAAGTTTATACTGAACCAGTCTTTAACTTGCTAAATAATGACAAATCTCTCTTTCTTTCTTTCTCTCTTTCTTTTTTTCTTTTTTCTTCCTCCAGATAATGAAGGAAGAAAACACAGAAGCCGGAGCAGAAGCAAAGAGGTAATTAACACTTTGTAGTGCTTAGGTGATTGTACATTACATCTTTAAAAGTATCTTTAGTAATGCACATATGTGTTAACCTATGTAAATGACTTTATGGTAAGTACAAAAAAAAAAGAAAATTCTAAGCTTAAAATGGATATGGAGATCCTTTCATAGTGAAGCATTTTTGCAGCCATCATGTTGACAAGGTAATAGCTTTATAGAAAAATGCATTCAGAACCTAGTAACTTATTTTATTATTTTTTTGTTGCAACAGCCAAATGAAAGAATTCATGTGGAGAAATAAAGTGGTGTTCTTGATGACTGTTTCACAGAGCTTCCATTAGTCTTAGGCCTTGTGCAGCTTTATATCTGTCCAGTGCTCAGGACTTTCAATGATGCATACCCATCTACTCAGATATATTAAAAATAATTCCCCACCTGACTAAGCTCTGTTTATTGCATCCTTCAATTGTAAAGACTGTTACAGCTTGACAAACAATTTCAACAAGGGTCAGCTGGAAGTATGACAGTGACAACAAAAATTTCAGAGGACTGTCTCAAGCTCAGGGAGYGAGAAGAGACAGTGTCAATAATACGTTGGAAATAACTGGCTTAACTACCAGAGAAGAGATGAAACCAAGCAAGCCAGGAGCATCGAAAGTGGTCAGAAAGGAAGCTTAAGCCA